CCTTCCTTCCTTCCTTCCTTCCTTCCTTCCTTCCTTCCTTCCTTCCTTCCTTCCTTCCTTCCTTCCTTCCTTTTGACACTGGGAGTTCAAAAGTTTTCTCTCTTCCATGCAGTAGTGGTATGCTACCGGTTTGGCCCAGTTCACCTGAACCAGTAGCAAAAATTCCTACAGGTTCAGCCGAACCTGTAGTTAAAAAAAAGCCTCCAAGGAGCAGCTGAGAGGAGGAAAAAGACAATCAACTGAGAAGAGAAAGAAGAGAAAAGTGCAGGATCGGCCCTCCCACCCAACCCCTGCCATTTTCTCTTCTTTATCCTCTTAGCTGATTGGTGCTGCAGGCCCCAGCTAGTGTGGGGAAAGCTGTTAGGTGCACGCGTCCATCGCGCAATCATCAAACTGGTAGTGGAGCAGGTAGGACCCCACTGCTGATTCCATGGTTTGAGAGACAATACAATCTAAACATCTTTTCCAATAGTTCCATGTAGGAAATGAGAGATGATGTTGGAACAGAAGGCAAACCTAACATTTATCACCTGCAAACTAACATTTTCTTACTTAACAAGTCTCACTACTGGACTCTTCCTCCTTTCAAAACGTTTGGTAGTTAGGGGCCATCTAATCTGCATCGAGGAGTTACTGGTTAACTATTTAAATCCATGACAATATATTGCCTATGTTTGCATCAGAAAAGGTTGTACTGAGGGTGACCTGTCCAGCAAGTCAGAATAAAGATGAGGGACCAAAAGACAAATTGGGCTTTGCTTTACAAAAACTTTCTGCCCCAACACATGGGTGAGGGGTTTTTAGGTGACCTGAGACTTCTTCATACTGTTTTTAAAATTTGCCCACACCTCAGCAAGAGAAACTACATGTAAAATATTTAAAACATTAGAGCTGTATAATGTTGTTCCATGGTGTTAATTTTGCTATTTATGTTCACATCCTATAATTCAGGCATGCCAGACAGATCATACTGATACCTCTAAGCATACTTCCAGTTCCAAGTGCAATCCACATGTGAGGAGAGAAGCTGAGCCGACTATTCCTCTGTTGGATGAAGATATTGCAAGGGACAAATAAAGCAGGCTTTTTTTTTTTCTTTACAAACTAAGCCATATAAGCTGAAGGAAATCAAGAGAGATTACTTTGCCTTCCTTAAAGGGTCTAATTTGCTGCTATTGCCACTGAATTTTTTCTTATCAGTTCTATCCAGTTTGCTTCTCAGCTGAAATTTGGTACGGGTCTCCTTCAATTTCATTAACCGGATGGAAGATCTCTTTTATACAAGCCTCATTTTAAAACATGGTTGACTCACAGGTTGTTGTTGAATTTGTTTCGAAATTATATGCATCTCTAAAGTCAAGGTCTACTACATTCCAGATCTTTGTATTTCAAGCAGATGCAAACGGTGAAAATGTATCCATATATTTTGTAATTGAAGTTCCCAAACATGAATGTATCGCAGCCTGAGCTCAACTCACACAATTCAGCTAACTGCACTTATGTTATATCCTCACCAAATATATAACCAAAGGGTTATATCAGCTATCAGGACAAGCTTACGGATATGGATATTTATGGAAATAGTGAATTTGGGTAGATTATCCCTGAATGTCCCTCAAACCACAGGCTTTTTAATACTGTTTCACAGTGACGTTAAAGATAAAAAAAGGTTTCGTCGGGCATGAAATACTAGAATTCTTTATATATTGTTACTGAGATTGATAAAATCCAGAAAAACAATATTTGGGGCAGAAATGCAAGAAAATTTCAAATGAAATTGGAAAAGGAGCATCCAAATTTAGCGAGGTAAAATGTTTTCAGAATTTTAACTGCAGGCACTATTACAAAATACAACAGCTGCTATATGTTAGATGTGGCCCATCACAAAGCATGCTATTGAAAGCAACCTAATTAGGGTGCTTCTTGCCATCCTTTCCAAGACCTCCTACATACTTCCCACCACCTATCCTTCTTTCTTCAGTCAACCACCATTTTTATTTTCTAGAAATGTAAGCTCATATCAAACCCAAAAATTTAATTACAAATTATACAAATGGTGAAAGATGGGGCCTTGTTTTTGACATGCCAGTTGCAAATCAGGGGAAATAGGCAGGCTGGTAGAAATTTAGGTTTAGAGCATCAAAATAATTTTATAAAAGATATAATTACTTGACCACATTAACAAAAAACAGGGGGAGATTTTCTTCAAAAGCAGCAAGAAAAGGAAATGCTTTATATATTCTGGTGTTCTAAAATAAATACCTAGTGAGCCAGCAACAGATAATCAGGGACATCCTAGACAAACAAGGAACAGGCATTTAATGACTCAGAACCCTGGGGGAATAATCAAATACTAAAATATTTGCTGGCTACTAAAATCAATTTGTTCTCCACAATTGACTTCAGCATTAAGGACTGTATTAAATGATTGTTTGAATATTCAGTATAATTTGATAGCAGTTTATGCTTATACTTGATAAATCAATGTATAGCAATATTTAACAGAAAGTGCAACTGAATTATTGTAGTACTGAATTATCTCTTACAGTTGGCATGCAGTTGATTTCAATGTGTGCTTTTATATACCTTTTACGTCTGCCAAAATCAAAAGATGCCATCATCCTTAAATTTTTTATGGCAATGTAATGTCAATTCTAGGTTTCAGTCTTCACCTTTGAAAATGGTTTGGGGATTAAGGCAAATTTATAAGGTATTTTTTTAAAGTTTACTTTCATTACAATAAACATTGGGGCTGGAACATAAATCAAAGGATATGAGTCTTCTTTTTGATGAGAGAATGACAGGTTACTGTTGGAAACTCTGGCATATCTACAGAACAGGAAACTGATTGTATGTATGCTTTCCAGCTTCAGTGTAATAGCAATAGCACTAGCACTTAGACTTATATACCTCTTCATAGTGCTTTACAGCCCTCTCTAAGCGGTTTACAGAGTCAGCATACTGCCCCCAACAATCAGGGTCCTCATTTTATTGATTTTGGATGGATGGAAGGCTGAGTCAATGAGAATCAAACTGCTGAACTGCTGGCAATTGGCAGTCAGCAGAATTAGGCTGCAATAACCACTGCGCCACCACGGCTTGTAAGTCATAACTGAATTAAATGTATGGCTCTCCTCTGATGCTACTGTTGTCTCTATGAAATGCAAATGTTCATGAAGTACCAATTAAATGTAGCAGGATGCAGAAATTACTCTGTGGATTTCTGAATGGAAACTTGCTGTGTTGCCTCTATAATATCTATTTGTGATTCCTGTATGGCCTCTAATATCTATTTGTAATTAATTTGTGCTTTCTAGCTAAAGACGTTCATTGTGATCAAATAATTTAATTCGGGATCCTTTATTTAATAGGAATTATGAGAAATTGTTTTAAAGTCAGTTTCCACAATTATATTAAACAAGTTCAGATCTATTCTTTCTTTATTTTGAGCAGAGATGGTCATTTTATTCTGATTGCCTATTCTTTTTGACAGTTTTACACAAGTATTGCTGCTGCTTTGTGCTGATTTTACCTGATTAATCTAATTATTATTTACTTATCTATGCTTTTTATATTTTGACTTTTCAATTGTACACACTTTTCAGAAAAGTAGTACATAGTTTTTTTTTAACAAGCTAGTATGTTTTTACAGACTTTTTGAAATTTAGGATGAAAAAAAAACATTGAAAATAAAAGTGATGTTTATTGTGGCTTATTTGTCACATTTTTTTTGGAAAAACAATCGGAAAACCATGATGACCATAGGAAAATTACGATACTTACATGCATGCTAGGCCCAAATATTTCATTACAAGGAATCGTCATCCCTGGACTAAGACTGGACTGTTTCAGATTATTTCCATTGCATCAAGGACTAGATGGCTCCTGCGGAAGCATGCAGTAGCTGATCAAGTTTTGACATCAGATCTTGTGAATCCAAGGTGGAGAGAGGTTCTCAGGATGTTCTCAAGACCCAGATTCAGAGGTGGTATTCAGCCAGTTCTGACAGGTTCTGGAGAACCGGCAGTGGAGTAGTTCAGAGAACCGGTAAATTCCACCTCTGGTTGACCCCTCCACCATCCATTCTCTGCTTCCCGAGTCCCAGCTGATCAGAGTCTCAGTTGACTGGTCTTAAGCTTGGTGGGATGATTGCAAGGTTTGTTTAGACTGCTCTCTATTGCTTTACTGCGCAGTGATCCATTACATATGCCACCTGTCATTTAACTAACAGGCACCATTGAATAACGTAGAGCAGGGGTCCCCAGCCCATGGATTGGCACCAATCTGCTGCATGCCAGAAACCAGGTTGTACCAACAAACAAAGCCCCATGCTCCCTCTGGTCCACGGAAAAACCTCTCTCCACGGAACAGGTCCCTGGTACCCAGAAGACTGGGGGGCCGCTGACGTAGAGCAAAGTGAATAGGAACAATAAAGAAGAGAAGAGCAACACTGCAACCAAGTTCTGCAGCCAATTGCACCAGAAAGTAATCCTTGAACTACACAAAAACAGTGCTCCCTCGAGTAATAAAAAGAGCAACAATATGGCCACAAAAACTCCTTGTGAGCAAAACAGTGGAACAACTTTTAGCACATTTATTTGAGACACCATTATTCCTGATTCTAAAACACAGATCTTTCAAATATGCATTAAATCTGAGTTTAAAAATCTGGTCTAACCATGTTTTCAGAAAAGTGCTGTGCCTGGGTAGGTGTGCAGCTGCATCATGGTTAGCATTCCAGGTAGATGCTTTTATCTTCCCTATAGCCCAAGCCAAAATGGCCTGGGTGTCAGTACCCAGTGCCCAGGGGAAAGGTGGCATACTTGTAGCAGCCTAAAATGGCCAATAGGAGTACACAAACTGAAGTTGCCTCCCTAATGTACTGGGGATGAGACAGAAGCAACTTGCCATCCTATAGAAATGCTTAGCATGGTATCTTAGAGAGAACTGAAAAAGAGTCTGGTGTTAGGCACATTCTTTCCAACCTGCAAAACTTCATGAAACCACTAGATGGTAAGAAAATGACACATCCTAACCCCAACCCTTTCTACTGCTACCTAACAGCTATCTATATTTTTTTTAAAAAAAAACAAGTTTTATTAATTTTTAAAACACACAAATTGTCATTATTCATTACATGTTTAAACCTTTTTTCATTGTCAATTTAACAAGTCAGATAAATTATAATTCTGTTTTAAACCATTTCCATACAACATACCAAAACCTCTTATTCAATTTCTCTTTACTTCTCTTTACTCTTATTCAATATCATTATTATTCTTTCATCTGTTTCTTTCTGACTTAGTTACCATTATTCTCAATCTATATTTCTACAATTTTTAACTAATTCTCCCCCCAAAAAGACATATACACACAACACACAAAACATAAAAAAAAAAATCTTTTTGGAAAGTAACTTGGACCCAGGTGTCTCTCTCTTCATGGACTTCAATTATATTCATGCTCATCTTACATATCATTACTTATTTTATTTACCATTCTAAGCCTTCTATATTAACTTCCCCACATATTTCACACTTCTTACTTCTATCTTAATTAATCATCTTAATTTGAATCATTATATTTATATCTTTTGTCCATTTTTTATCATCCCTTTGTCTCATTCCTTATAAAAAAAAAGAAAATAAGTTTCTCCTGAAATCATTAATCAGAGTATGATGCCTTTCTATCTCCCCCCTAAGTTAATCAAATTAATCTTTAAAATAATATCTAATACCCAATCCGATTTTGCTTGGAACATTCTATCTAACTAATACATCCAACATAATTAAGTACATAATTAGACAATAAATCCAAATATTAAAAAAAGATACTATGATAAAAATTTTATAATAACATCAATACCATAGTCTTATTAAACTCTTTAATTAAAACAATATTCTAAACCTCCCCTATTATTAGGTTTTAAAGCCAATCATTTTTAAACATTTTAACATTTTAATCTCTTATCAACTCTTAAATCATTACAATACTACCATCTCATCTTATGTACCTTGCAAAATCTTTTTTTTAAAAAAAAAAAATTATACTTTATCCATTATCCAAAAAAAATTTCTTTTTTTCATTTAATTTCAAAACATTGTAGCTTTTCTCCACCTTTTCCCTTTCTTTCTTCTCCCAACAAACCTTTCTACCCCCCCTTCTTCTAGCCTCTGCCTTGCCAGCTTCCCTTCTCTGTCGTATTCCTTTTCCCTTTTGTTTACTATCATCATATTGGTTTTGCACCTTATTTTTCCCTTTCTTAAATGTTTTTTTAGATCTTAAGTCCTTAAGTCCTTTAATTTTCTTCTTTTCTCTTCTTTTCTTTTCTTTCTCTCTTCCTTCTTTCTGGATCAAGTTCTGAGATTCATTAAAAATGGCTCCTTTCTTTCTTTCTTTCTTGTTCCTCTGCTGTCTTCATCTGTTGTAATGTTTGTTGATAATTAATAAGCGCCATTTCTAAGAAAAGGAAAGCTTCTTCCACACCATCTTTACCATTTTTTTTTTGCTTGTTCATATTCTTTTCTTAGTTCCTCAACAGAAAGAGCCATTATAAATCTTTTCTTTTCTTTTCCCCTTCTTTCTTCTTACAACAACCAGAATATTCAAAAGAAAATAAAAAAAATAAAACAGTCCCAAAGTTATCAGTCAGTCCAAACCAAGGCAGAGTTCTCACTTTCTCCTTCTGGGGTAATATCAATCCAAGAGAAAGAAAGTCCAAATCTGTTTAAAATCTTATTGCAATATATTCTAGTCTTCAAATCCTTAAGGCATCTGCTCCAACAAAGTCTTAGCATACAAATGTTTTCTTTTTAATCCTCTCTCTTCCCACTCATCGCTTAAAACCAATTTTCACCTAAAAGAAATAGGTTTCTTAATATCCAGTTATTTATTCCGTAGGAAAAGAGGGAAAGCTATCCTTTCAGCACCTTCAAACAGCCGCTTTTTTCCTCTTCTGGCAGGTATTATTCAGAAAGTCATACTTTTCAGGAATTTTATTAGATATGTCTTAGAGTCCTAGGAGCCAAGAAAAACTTTCTCCTCTCAATCACTTTCTCCACTTCCTCCTGTGCATTCTTACCCGGCTGCCAGCTTCTTTGTGGCGGCCATTACAGACCGCCGCTGCACCGTCCTGGGAAAAGGGAGTTCTGCCGGCCAGGGAGGGAGTCTGCAGCACCCCCAAACCCTTCTCCGGATCCCCCCTACCTTCAGCTGCCCCTGCAGGGCAGCCTAGCTCCGTACCCGGCTGGGTCGGAGCCCCAAAAACGGCTAGCGCGGCAGGGATCGCGCAGCTTCGCAAATCCCTGCCGCTCGCGAAGCCGACAAACCGGAAGTCCCTAACAGCTATCTATATTTGTACTGCTCACATATGATATGATTTAAATGTCTTCCTAAAAAGAAGACGTTGAAAAAAGAGGATTTGATGCCTTTCTGTGGGAAACAGGACCCACCCAACAACAATACTTCCATAGACGTTTGATGAGAGATTCGTTAATAAACAATTGGATTAAAGTTAAAAAGAAACATTACATAAAAATTCCAATTTGGCTATCTGCAATGGAAGCGATGATCCACCCAAACAATTTAGACTTGAACAAAATGTTAAAATATAAAGACCTATTAGATATTCATGGAAATTTAAAAACAATGCAAGACCTCCAAGAACAAGGGCTACGAGTTGACTGGTGGGCTTACCTCCAATTACAAAACTGATATAAAAAAGATCATGGAATATCAACCACAATAATTAGACAAAATTATATTAGGACCAGATAAAAAAATATCACTATTTACAAATATCTTCTGGAAGTAGAACTGGCGGAAGAAGTAGTGAAATGCTGCATGATTGCATGGGGTCAAAATATTGGACACAGTATAAAATTATCAGATTGGGAGAGCATATG